AACAATTTTCGACATAACAGGAAGTATTGTTATGGGTCTCATTTCATTAGCACTGCGTTCTGTCTTGGAAATAGGCGTAATCCGTCCTAATTTCCAAGCATCTGGAAAAGTTGAAACCATAAAAATAGTGTTAATTAAATGCAATAGGTAAGGAGAAACCAATGGAAATATTATTTTCAAAAATTTTACAGGAACATTATCATGTCCGGGAGAATTAGACTTAATAAAAAATATTGCAAGAGCAAGTTCACTTTCACTGATCGAATGAAATGAAAATGAGTCAGGATTTTCTACAAAATGCTCAAAATCGAAAACAACATTATTTTGAGTGCTGTTGCATGAGACTGTATCTGCTAGTGACTCTACGTCTGTCCTATTAACATCCATATTTTTCTTTCCTACGCATCCTAGCTTACGAATATTTTTCCACATCTGACCGTTATCACATCCAGAAAACATACGTGTACCATATTTAAACCTTTCTTTCCTAATAACAGACTTAGTCTTATTTCGTAATTTACAATAAATTTTCCAGTATTCATTAGTGCGATTTCGTAGGTAAGCTGCATACGCCTTATCTCTATTTCATCGGGCTTGTACTATTAAATTAGAGTTCATCCATTTATTATCATCAACATTAGATTTAGATCTGGAGGTTGGAACCAACGAATGTAAAGCTTCAACAACTCCATTTAACCTTGTTAATTGAATGTTTACATCAAGAAAGAAGACATTTTGCTTTGATTGAAACAATCACACATATCAGAAAAACACACTCGGCCATAATCCTTGCGGTTATCCAATCATGCCGTACAACCGAATCAAACTTCAAAGAAATAAAAATAAAACAATGGTGGGATGAGAAAAAGGGTCCTTTCAGAGCAAGACGAAATGGCTCACTTAACAAAAAATAGTCAATTAACGACGTGCTATTATTTGGCAGATGGATATGAGTAGGTAAACAATTGTGGGTACGTTGAAGACCACAACGAGACACAAGAGATCGAAAATAAATAGATTTAGAAGTATCGAACAAATTATAATTAAAATCTCCCATGATGACAATGTTAGAGAAGCGATCAAATAAGTCGTTATGCATATTTTCAAATGAGTCAACACCACCGGTGGGTAAGTAAACAACGTCAACAATTAACGAAGATTCTCTGCCAAAAATTTCAACAAACAACGATTCACAGATTCCATATTGAGTCCCTCTGTATACGACTCTATATTTTAAGTGTTTCGAAATATAAAGAAAAAACGCCTCCTGCTCTTGTAGGACAACCGTTTGCGTAATAATTTAATTTAAATTGTAATTATATAAATTAAGGGAACTAGTATAAATGTCGGGCTTGAACCACGTCTCCGATACTCCAATTATATCAAGGCCACAATTATAAAAGGTGTTTTTAAATTCTTCAAGTTTAACATTCGAATTGGATGGACACAAACTCTGTGCGTTAATATTCCCTATATTTAAGTTTTCCGAAAAAGGAGATATCAAATTTCGTAGTACTTGTTGACTACCACTAACTACATGACCAGTATTACAGTCAATAGACATTATATTGTAAGCAATGTTCAAAAGTACAGGGGAGCATATAAAAAATTATAGTTGAATAATATACATAAATCAAAATTATCAAAGGTAAATTCATATTAATCGTTCATAAATAAATTGAAATACCCCCTCAATACAAAGTTTTAAATATAAGGCTAATATAGAACATTAGATCAAAAATACTGTTAAATAAGAAAATAACATATATAAATGTAGTTTAAGAGTAGTTTTAAAAGAGTTAACAAATTCCAGAATACTAAATTTCTGTTTTTCATCATTCAACATTACAATATTGGCTTTAATCGCTTCTCTATTAATAATGCTAAAACTTTTAATTTTTTATCTTTCTTTAGTTTTATGCAGGATTTCTTTAACTTTATGGCAAGTGTAGAAAGATTATCATTTAAGTATATTCGGCTCGTATCATTACCACCAAGAACATCAGCTACTGTGGGGGGTTGGGATTTAAAATAAGCTGACATTAGTTCATCTCTTTTGTTGATATCGCGAAATCTAACCAGGATTGCATAACGTCTCCTAATGTACATGACGTTGGTTATGTCTGCAGGTTGAACGTCAACCTTCAAATGGGCACATAAAAATACAACCACCTCATTCACTCTCTCCAACTTGTCAGCAAGTCCGGTTATGATAATGTCACATCTATTTAAACGATGTTGTAAAGCGTGATTTTGCAGTTCAAGATCCATAAACTTATTTTTGTATGTTTTATCATTCGTGTTCATGATGCTCTGGCAGTTGTTAAGGTCATTCTTCACGTCATCAATGCTTTTGGAAAGTTCCAATCTGATCTCCGTAACAAAATGTTCAAATTTAGTTTTCATTTCAACATGTTCTCTCTTTATGTCATCAGCATGGATACGCAGACTTTCCTTAAGAGAAGAAAATTCGTTCCTCATTTCAGCCTTAAAAGCAGAATCTGAATAGTCTGGAGGATTTTCGACACAACGTACACGTGTGTATGCAAGGTTTCGGTTTTTGTCTAATGTTGAAAAAAAGAGTTTTTGAAAGATTATCACATGCAGCATGTATCCATGAATTGCACGATCTACACAATAAACTCTTAGTACCACTCGTCTCCAGATGACAGACTCCACAAGGAAAAACATGTCTTTTCCTGTGCTTTATTATATTCCTTAGATAAGCAAAAACATCAAGTTGAGGTTAAGGCAAAGCGACGGCGTCAAACTGGTTGGATACACAATATCGGCGTAGAGTATTAAGTAGTGTTGTAAACCCGGCGTTAAAGTTGTTTTCTTCTTTTTCTCGTTTTCTCTATGCTTTCTATTAGCAAAACAACAGCAATCCGAAAATACGAGAGTATTTATTAAATTGACCTGACGTAAATATCACAAATTAAGAAAAAACTCCATATGTCTGGGTTGAAGTGCACTTTAATTAGTATTTGTGTCACTCAGAGATTTAATTTTAAACAGTTTAAGATTGATTTTATTCACTTTCGACCGAGAGGGTTTTTCAAGCACGTTTACATCCACATTACATCCACTTTTTCAATCTTTCGTTTTCGTCATTTTTTAACTAATCAGCTAAAATTAGGTATTTTTGTATCCCACTGGGTGGAAAAGGAGCCTGTGCAAAGTTCTATCGCTATCGGAGGAATATTTGATGTCGAAATCGGAACCGATTTTTACAAAACTTCACACACATCACTCTAGATTCAATTCAGTATGCTATGCAAAATTTCGTACAAATCGAAAGAAATATAGGGTCTTTAATGCACCATTTACACAAAATCTGACGAAAATATGTGTGCGAGCTATGTCTAAATCTGAACCGATTTCAACAAAACTTAACACACGTCACTCCGGATCCAATTTGGTACGCTGTACAAATTAGTCTCAATCGGATAATTATTATTCAGTTTGTTGTACTACAATTGTGTTGTAGTTACGTCCTTTTGTGTCAGAAAATATCAAGTCAAAAGGAAGTAACTGACATAAAATTATAATCAATTTTTAAAAATTTATAACGTTTTTTGCTTCTCTTGTAAAATTAGTAAAAGTGTAGTTACGTCCGTTTGGATTTATGATGATATATATATATATATATATATCGTTAGCTAGCTTTGAATGAAAGCTATAAATATGTCAAATGAAGATTTTTCTAAGTTCACTTTTAATTATATTATTATTATTGTAGTTACGTCTTTTTGTTTTTTGTTAATAGAAGCTCCTTTTTTGACCGCAGACGTGTAAAACTTTGTCAACACATGTAGTTTATTGACATTCACAATATTCTTCAAAAAGTAAATTTTCAATTTTTTTTTTTGTCTTTCAAAATCGATTAATGTTCCATCAGGTGTCCCGCAAGGAAGTTACCTATGCCCGATTCTATTTCTATTGTTTGTAAATGATTTGTCAAAATCTGTATCGCATTCCAAATTGCTAATGTATGCAGATGATGTCAAGTTGTTCATAATTCTGAAAAGCAAACTCATTTACTCCAGCACGATTTAAATAGTCCATTTCAATGGTGCAGCTTAAATTGTATGGACTTGAATTTAAATAAATGTAAACATATGTGTTTTTCTAGAAACTCTTCTTCGATTTTATCAACTGTAGATACTTTCGTTGATCTTGGTATTTTAATGGATCCAAATTTAAATTTTAACAATGGTGTCTTAGGATTTATAAAACGGTGGGCCAAAGAATTCTCGGATCCATGTATAACGAAACAACTATTTACGTCTCTTTTTAGACCTATATTAGAATACGGTTCTGTTGTATGGGATCCCCAATATGCAATATATTCTGATAAAATCGAATCCGTGCAGAAACAATTTTTACTTTTTGCACAGAGAGGTTTTCTTTGGAATAGTAGTTTTGTGTTGCCATCTTATACTAGCAGGTTAAAATTAATTCGTTTGCCTACATTGAAAAGTAGACGTGTTATGTTGAATAAATACTATGATGGCACTAAAATATTAAATGGTAATATACCTTCGGATTTCCTAATTTCTTCTATTAGAATAAATGTTCCTGCCCGATCTAGTAGACACTAAAAATATTAAATGGTAATATACCTTCGAATTTCCTAATTTCTTCTATTAGAATAAATGTTCCCGCCCGATCTAGTAGACACTATCAACTCGTATATGTAGACTTCCACCGCACGAATTACTCTATGGGAGATCCACTTAGTAAAATGTGTATTGACTTTAACTCTGTATACTCCAATGTAGATTTTTGCTTGAGCGTTGAACTAATCGCATGTGTATGCGATCCCTACGTAAGGGCAGGTCGCCTCCTCGTCGGCAGGGAAAGGCAGAAAGAAAAAAAGAAGTGTTAACCGAGACGAAACCCCGGACAGTTAACCGATTTTGCTAAAATTCTGTTTAAATAACAATCCGATTATAATATTTAAGTTTATTAATCTATATAATCTTTTTCCTTCTTTATATTTACAATACATGCAGAAACGTTTCAAACGTTTAAGAAGGATACAAGAGGAGGAGAGCGATGGAGATGATGATCACGTTGACGAAGGCCTGGCTAGGGAAGCTATAGCAGAGCAACTTTTCGACGACGACGAGGTATGTATGAATAATTTAATAATATATAATAATGACAAAGTATCTAAATAGAACGCTGAGAGGCAATCTGAAAAAAGCAATAGAGAACCCGAAAATTTCGAAGAAGACGAGGAAGAAACGGATTCTGATGCTGATGATTTTATTGTAGATGATGAAGGAAGACCTATTGCAGAGAAGAAGAAAAAACGGAAGCCGATATTTACAGATGCGTAAGTTGATATTTATAGTTAAAATTATAAACATGTACTATAACATATGTTTCTTTAGTAACGTGGGTCGTATCGATGTAGAATTTCGGTTGTCAATTTTCAATCATTTAATATTCCAAATATAACTAAATAAAATCTAAATCATATAAGCCGAAATCAGTACCTGCGAATTTGGTTCTTTTAAGCAAATTCCCTCGTTATATTATAAGCGGTGCTTTTATGGCGGTATGAAATAAGTCCCCAAATTTGGGGCTTTATTTTATTATGAAATAAATCCCTAAAAAGCAATAAGAAATAACTCCCCACCGAAATGAAGGAACTCCCCAAAATAAAATGAAATAAGTCCCTAAAAGTGGGGACTTATTTCATAATGAAATAAGTCCATAATTCGGAAAATTAAATGTATACCCAAATAAATTGTTTTTTATATGATATATTTTTCATTTTATTTTTAAGGGAACCCCCCCCCCCCCCATTCTCGATTTTTTATTTTTAAGATTTTAAATGGGCTGGTAAATGAATACCAATGCTTGTTAAGGTTTGTAACTTTGCACATATATATTTGAAGATTTAAAGAGGAAGAAAAATAATTTACAAAAAAATTTTGTTGTTGTTTTGTTGTTGTTTTTTGTGATCAAAGAAAAGTCCTTATTTTTGATGGCGGGCATGATAACTCCTCACTGGAACATCGGAATCCGAAAATTCCAACGGTGTTAGAAAGAGTACATGTCTGGCTCTCGTATGAACTAGGATTATTGACTTCGCTCTAAAATTAACAAAATGGTGGACCTTTGAAAAAATATTTTTGGAAAATCGCCGATTTTTTACCAAAAACCAAGTTAAAAAATAAGGAAGATCTTCACCGATTGGCTTTATCCTAGTTCATACGATAGCTATACACTCACAGAGAAACGTGTAAAAATTTGAAATCGATTGGGTTATTAGTTTTTGAGTTATCGTGCCCGCCATTCGCAAAAAAATGTTTAGAGAAAAACGCGTTTAAAGTTTGAGAAGCCCGTCAGCCGTCACTTGATGCTGACACAATAAATCGGCTATATCTTCAAGAGTTCTTGAGATTTTTACTTGAAATTTTGCAGGGACATTCTTGAATTAGTGTAGATTGGAATTAAGTCAACAAAAATTTTGACCCCGAGAATGGGGGGGGTCCCCTTAAGAAAAAACTGACCTATTTCCTAAATTTTTCGAATTTTATTACTGCAGACACAAAAGTTCTGGATTCCAATCTGTAAATGAGATGTTGTTTTTATTGTTCATATAAACAATAGATTTTTAAATACATCTACTTTCTGCATCCAAAAACCGAAAAATCGAAATATTTTATGAATGGCATAAATAAATACCAGGGTAAAATCCATTAATTAAATACGCTGGCTTTAATGGCAAAGCTAACATTTTGTGATATAGACTCGAAACACTGTTGAAGTTTGAGCACCTTATTAAGTCCAACATATTCGGGCGAATTTATTGTTTGAGTCCAAAATAACCACCTATTTACATAACTCGCGAAGTATGAACATATTGCATATTGTATTCAGTTCTATAAAATGAAGTGTTCTTATCAAAGTCTTAGAATATTGTTAATAAATAATAAGTTGCGTGGAAGCTGCGATGGTGGTAATGTAAAAAATGCACATATAATCACAACGCGCATCCAGATAATGGACTAAACTTATTCTAGGATTGTAGAACTCGTGATTTTGCTTCGCTTAGTGTATATCTGAGGAATGTGCTCACCGTAGCTTCTTTGCAATTGGGTTCCAAAGACGAAAATTTGGTGCGTACGTACGTACTACGTTTCAGATTTCTATGGTTCCATTGTAGTTTTTATTTAGTACATTTATCACAATTTTAATACTAATATCCAAAAAATGATGCATATAGTTTGAGATTTCTATCCCTATCGGTTCTATTGTAATATATTTATAACTTTTTAGTGCATTTTAACACTAATTTCCAAAAAATATTTTTGTAATCATTTTATTTGTAATAGCTTAACTTAAATACTATGTTTCAGATATCTACCCCTACCTGTGCCATTGTAATATTATATTTAGCACTTTTAGCACTAACTTTCAAAATTTGTTCACACATTCCCCTTTGCTTGTCATTGACAAAACATCATACAAAATTTCAGAGTTCTGCTTTTAAACTTTCCAGTGTAATACAGTTTTAGTACCATTTTAGTACTAATTTCCAAAAGAAATTTTTGCACAACATTCTATTTGTAATATCTTCAGCATACATATAAAGTTTCCGATAAGTATCTCTACTGGTTCAATTGAAATAAAATATTTAGTACTTCTTAGTACTAAATTCCATTTTTTTCACACACGCCCTTTGGCTGATTATTGACAAAGCGGTATACCAAATTTCAGAGTTCTACTTCTAATCGTTCGGCGTAATACAGTTTTAGTACTTTTTAGTACCATTTCAGTACAAAATTTCCAAAAAAAATAATTTTGCATGTCATCTTTTTTATAATAGCTTAAGCTACATACCATTTTTTTATCGAACGTTCCCATGCCTCACTTTCCCACCCATGCCGACCGAGGGGGCGACCTCCCCTTTCGTAAAGATCGCATACACACCATAATCCGCATTATGATGGAAACCAGCTACAGAAATCTACTTCAACAGCTAGTTTGTTATTAAGTTGTATTATTCATTTATTTCATACAATGTAATATAAAAAAGCCAGCATGGCCAATAACTTATATTAACTTATATATAAAAAATAAAAATCCAAACAAAGAATAAACTAAATAAATTAAAAATACATAACAGTAATGAAATTTAATGCAAACCCCTAACATAACAGATTCCAAACAAGAACCCCAATCCACTGCACTCTACTTAACTGTTGCTAAGAAAAGTGGAGGGGAAAGGAAGCTTAAGGAATCATACATATAAATATACTATATATTCCTCTCGAGCCCAAGAGCAATATCAGAACCACAGACATTAAATTTCATATGTATAAATCTATAACATAAATGTTAACGAACTTAAATAAAAATGGCTCCCCAGCCAAAAATTAAAAAAAAAAAACAAAGTAACATTATGCAACATTAGGCTCAAAGGGAGCTGATTCCACGATCTTACGACTCTAACTACAAATGATCTTTCACAAATTGCAGACGAAAACCTCGGATACAACAACTGAGGGTTCCGAGAGGATCTACACATCACAAACAGTGGTAAATCAACATTTCTCATAATTCTATAATAACACAAAAGGATACAATATTCAACATAATTATAAAAGGATAGGCCAAGAAATTTAACAACAAATTGGGAAACATGATGACCCAAACCATATACATAACGAACAATGGAGTTAACAACCTTTTGGAGCCGATGCAAATGACCACAATTAGAGCCCGAAATAACCTGCGACATCAACAACGACATAGCCACCTTCACCCTAACGCCAAGAGGCAAATATGCTTGGACACTATAAAGCCTCCTAAGCTGGAATCGCACACGGGACAACAGAAGATCAATGTGGGTCGAAAAACTCAGTTTGGCATCAATAATTACACCCAGGCACTTCATTTCACCAACAATATTAATAGTAAAGGAACTAACGCAAATATTAGGCATAGAACCGTCATAGCACCAATTGAACAAAACAGCTTCAGTCTTATCCCAGTTTATATCAAGACCATTGGAAGAGATCCACATAGAGAGAGATTGCAACGTTGTGTTAGCCAGATTCTCCAACCTGGCGAGATCAACACTCCTAAAGAAAACATGTATGTTATCCGCATACAAGAAGAGACTACAATCACTAGCAGTAACAGAATCCATGATGTCATTAATGAACATAATAAAAAGTAATGGGCCCAGTACAGAACCCTGCGGGACTCCACACCGGATTAGACAACATCAGATTGGACACCCTTGTGCACAACAAACTGGGATCTACACTCCAGATACGACGAAATTAGTCTACAGGCCGAAATGGAAAATCCAAATTTGACTCTAAGCTTGCGAATAAGCAGCGCGTGGTCAATTGAATCAAAGGCCTTAGACAAATCAAGACCAACAAGAAGACCAACATCAGAACCATCAAAAACATCACGAATAACATCAGTAAGGGATAATAAGTGCACAGTAGTACTGCAGCCACGCCGAAAACCATACTGAGAACTACTCAGGCATTTGTGATCATCAAGAAACTCCAAAATAGCATCTTTAATAATATGCTCTACCATCTTAGACATGGCCGGCAATACATTTATTGGGCGCAAGTTAGACTGACTGTATGAAGACCCTTTCTTCGGAACAGGCACCACACGAGCCACCTTCCAAGCTTGCGGAAAGGATGACGTCATAAAAATACAATTAACAAAATGCAAAAAGTGAACCGATATGTATGGAAAAACACTCTTAAAAAATTAATAGGAATGCCATCAAAACCTACAGCTCCAGACTTAATTTTGCGGAGAGCACTTTCAACATCCTCCATAAACACGCATTAAAACCTAAATGACTCTCGAACAAAGGCACCATCAATTCCTACACTCACACCAGGATTAGATTTGCCCACATTACAAAAGTAATCATTAACAGTATTAACATCAATAAAAGGAACATCATCACCACAATCCAGACAACCAAAGGACCTAAGAGACTTCCATAATTGACTACTGTTCATACGACCGAACAACTTTTCATAAAATGTTCTTCTTTCATTACGCATAACAGCTTTGCAACGATTTCTGCAGATACAATATATACGTCTACTTCTAATCGTTCGGCGTAATACAGTTTTAGTACTTTTTAGTACCATTTCAGTACAAAATTTCCAAAAAAAATAATTTTGCATGTCATCTTTTTTATAATAGCTTAAGCTACATACCATTTTTTTATCGAACGTTCCCATGCCTCACTTTCCCACCCATGCCGACCGAGGGGGCGACCTCCCCTTTCGTAAAGATCGCATACACACCATAATCCGCATTATGATGGAAACC